GCACAAAAATGATCAGAGGGCTGGAGCTCCTCTCCTGTGAGGACAGGCTGAGTGAGTTGTGGTTGTTGAGCCTGGAGAAGAGAAGGCTCTGGGGAGACCTTATTGCAGCCTTCCATTTCTTAAAGGGGGCTTATATGAAAGATGGGGACAGACTTTTTAGCACGGCCTGATGCGATAGGACAAGGGGTAATGGTTTTAAACTAAAAGAGGGCAAATTTAGACTAGATCTAAGGAAGAAATATTTCACAGTGAGTGCGGTGAAACCCTGGCCCAGGTTGCCCAGAGAGGTGGTAGATGCCCCGTCGCTGGAAACATTCCAGGTCAGGTTGGACGGGGCTCTGAACAACCGGATCTACTTGAAGATGTCCCTGCTCGTTATGGAGGGGCTGGACTAGATGACCTTTAGAGGTCCTTTCCTACCCAAAGATTCTATGATTCTAAACCTCCCCTGGCACAATTTGAGGCCGTTTCCTCTCGTCCTGTTGCTAGTTACTGTGGAGCAGAGACCAACACCCACCTCACTACAACCCCCTTTCAGGTAGTTGTAGAGAGCAATAAGGTCTCCCCTCAGCCTCCTCTTCTCCAGATTAAACAACCCCAGTTCCCTCAGCGGCTCCTCATAAGACTTGTGCTCTAGACCCTTCACCAGCTTCATTGCACTCCTCTGAACACGCTCCGGCACCTCAGTGTCACCTCTATGGTGATACAATCTTAAAGCTGAAGTGAGCATCCTGAAATATGAATTCTAGAATTTGAGGTTTGTATCATGTTGTGAAAAATACTGCCAGTACTTCTGCCATGGCCCATTGGTTCCATGAAAGCAAGATATTACTATGCTATTTAAGCATTTTTTTTCAGTGTTTCTAATAGCACTTCATCATGATACCACTGTGACCCTTGGACATGCCTAGTGGACACAAGTTATGCCTGTTCATTAGGCTTTTGATCATTCCATGTAGTACTTGAAGAATAATTATAGTTTAAATACCATTCTGTACTTTCAACATAACCTCGTCCCCAAACCATTTAATAGCTTTTGGCTTAGGACCAAATACATGAAATTCATTAGGAAATCATTGATATTATAATTTAAGATATTTATATTTTATTTTAAGCAGTGCAGTTTGTTTTCTTGTCTCAACTACAATTTTTTAACATTTTTGCATTTATCTCGAAGTAAATCAGTTATTAATGTGTTAGCCTTTATATTTCCTGAATCTTCAGTGTTTGTTAGTTTTTATTTTTTAATGGAGCTGGCAGTTTCTGTACTGTATTGATACTTTTTTTTCTTTCTGGTGTTTTTGTAGATCTCCAGACACCGTAATAGTTACATGTTCCCTGTAAGGACACATAGCAGTGGCACAGCCTGAAGTAGTTTAATGGTCTTCAACACTTCAAACTTCTGATAGAATTTTTTTTTTTCATTCCAATTTTTGACTTCAAACGAATGCTGTTTCTTTTTGGAGAAAGGGCGCTACATGAAGGCCAGACTGAACTGAAATAATTTTGTATTGTATTACCAGAGAGTGGAATAGAAAGTTTTAATTCATGTAAAATCCCAGGTATACATTTTAGAAGAGTAGTACCTTAAAAACATAGGGCCAGATTGTGAACTACTGTAGTTTTTGAAGACTTTATAGCTCTAACAATTCACTTATCCCTGGAAAGTAGAAGAGCTAAAAAGTGGAAAGTTTCAAATTTGTCTGAATACTTCTAACTTACAGCTTCTAATAGCTCTAATGTCTCTCTCCGCCCATCTTCCACACCGGGGTGATGGGAAGGGGG